CCTCCCTCCCTCCCTCCCTCCCTGCCTGCCTGCCTTTTCCTTTCAGAGTCTCTCTATATGGCCTAGGCTGTCTTCAAATTTAAATTACATTTATGTATTTATTTAGCGTGTGTGAGAATGTTCACGTGCATGCCATAGTGCTAGTATGGAGGTCGGAAGATAACATGTAGAAGTCAGTTCTCTCCTTCCACCATGTGAGTGAGTCCCAGAGATCAAACCCAATTTGTCAGGCTTGGCAACAAACACCTCTGCCTATTTGGGAATCTCATTGGTCCATGGACCTTTTAATTTTCTTGAGTTGGGGTCTCACTCTGTAGACCAGGCTGGCCTCAAACTGACAGAGATCCACCTGTTTCTGCTTCCCAAATGTTGGGAATATACCATCATACACTTTGTGTCTTTTAAAAAGAAAAAAATACAACACCCAAGTTCCCTTCCTTCTGTCCATAGTCTCCTGAGGATGAAGGAAATAGGAAATAATTCTAGAATGTTCTGCTGTGGCCAGGCTTCTCAGCCTGCACTGTTGGTCAGCGATAGGTCATTCTGTAGGAGGGCCAACCTGTGACTTGCCCACTGCTGAACAGTCCTGGCCTCCAGCTACCAGATGCCAATGTCATTCGCCCATCCAACTAGGTATGACCATCAACAGTGTCTGCAGGCAATGCCCTGTGTCCCTGGGGGACTGTAGCCTCCTTGGAGCTTGATCCTGTCAATCACTCTCTGACTCGGGACATTGCTTCACAGCTGTCCTCTCTCAAGCCCACCTTGCAGCCTTTTTAAGAAAAGGAAGGATGGAGGCCATATTTACATATATATATATATATATATATATATATATATATCAATGTGTTTGTTTGTGTGTGTGTGTGTGTGTGTGTGTGTGTGTGTGTGTGTGTGTGTCCCAAGCCTCAGTGTAGGTGCCCCAAGAGGACACAGCCTCCTTATCCCAGAAAATGTGGAGACACTTGCTTCTAAGATAGGCAGATGTATTAACCAGGCCTTTCCCTTTTTGTTTTGGGTGTGGTCTCACAGTCTGGCCTTGAATTGTAGATCCTCCAGTCTCAGTCTCCGGAGTAGTGGGATTACAGGTGTGTACCACTACCCCAGGTTCTCTTTTCTTTTGGGTTTTCCTTCCCAGCCCTCTCATTTCCCCTCCATCCTCTCTTTTTTCAACAGTGTTATATGTAGCCCAGGCTGACCCCCAAGCTCACTATGCATTGGGAACTCCTACATCCTCTTGCTCCAACCTTAAGTCCTGGGATGCCAGCCAGTGTGCCTTCTGTCCAGCCAGATCTACTGGCTGTATTGACACTTAAGTAGCTAGAGCCCTGCAGACCGTGGAGGGATGGTTTGGCCCTGGGGAAGTCAATTCCTAGAGATGGGAAAGAATTTGACCATTGCTATGATACAAAACAGCTCACTCTGACAGCTCTGTCAAAGTCCTCTTTCCAGTCATTACAGCAGGGGCCAGACACTCCTTTACCTGCTTCTTCTTGTGCAAAGTGAAATTAATAATAATAATAATAATAATAATAATAATAATAATAATAATAAATACCATTTAGAATTGCCTGACTTGAGCAAGGCTCTTTGGTACTCCAACTGGTCCTGGTGCTGTCCTATGTGGTCCTATATGGTATCCTATACTCTCTTGGGATACACAATAGACAAGCTATCCTCTCTCCTGCATGCGTGTGCGTGCGTGCGTGCGTGCGTGCGTGCGTGCGTGCGTGTGTGTGTGTGTGTGTGTGTGTATGTGTGTGTGTGTGTGTGTGTGTGTGTATGTACTTGGGCTGGAATTTAGGGCCTCATCTGTGTTAAATAAATGCTCTAACACTGAGCTGCATCTCCAGCAACAATAAAAACAGGCATTCCAAAACAGTGGGAAAGGAAGGAATTTAGGGTTGCTCCTGGGCTTCTGGGCAGCTCTTTGTCCTGTGGTTAGGGGCCTGCATCAGGGCTGAGGAAGTTCATACCTGAAACACAGTCATTATTGCTGCTGGGAAAGTATCGAAGTTGGTGGGAGGAGTCCCCTCATCAAAATTAAACCTGTGGACAGCAAGAACACTTTATGTTAGCGCTCCTTCTCTGAAGGCTTGGTTCAGCTTCTAGTTTCCATGGTAACATCTGGAGTATCTCTGTTCCCCAGGAAGATACTGTACTTGGTACCCAGAAGCCCACAAGCCTAGATGACCATTCCCATCCTGAGGGCAAGTCACCAGATGGAGGTCAGCTTGAAGGGGCCAGGTGGTGGCAGCCGGGTATGTCATGGGAACTGAGCTGGAGTTCCGGGTGGGGTGTCCAGATGTCAGGCAGTACTTACTGGCCACCGAACAGCTGCATCCCCAAGAGGGCAAAGACAACAATGAACAGGAAGAGGAGGAACAACAGACTTATGATGGACTTCATGGAGTTGAGAAGGGAGACAACCAGGTTTCTGAGAGATGCCCAGTACCTGTGACAGAAGCCAAGGCGGGGATCAGACCAGGGATATGCACGCTGGGCTGGGCGCCCTCCTCATCCATTTGTCAGAATGCTAAGAAACCTCAACACTTACTTTGTGACTTTGAAAATTCGCAATAACCTGAGAGCTCTTAACACACTGATTCCAAAAGATGTACCAGGTTTTATGACAGCCCAGATGACTTCAAAGATGCTCCCGATGATGACCTGCAACAGAGAACTCAGGCTCAAGGTCACTGGTAGCCTCAGGACTCCTACCCATTCCCAGGACCTGACCCAGGTCCACCCCTCAGAAAACATAGGCTATCAGGAAGTCACCAGACTCAGGGTTTGGCTTATAGGAAGGCTGTGAAGCTGGTAAGAAGTGGGTCACTTGGGATCAAATCCCCTCCTCCTTTAGGTTGTTTCTGTTAGGTTTTGTTTGTGAGTAGGGTTTCTTCATGTGGCCCTGACTGTCTTGAAGCTCATTCTGTAGATGAGGCTGACCTCTTACTCAGAGATACATCTACCTCTGCCTCTGCGTGATGGAATTAAAGGCGTGCACCATCACACCTGGGCATCTGTCAGGTACTTTGTCACAGTGACTGACAGATGGTGGGCCCAAAACTCATCTTTTTCCTCTACATTTTTATTTATTTATTAAAAGCTCATATATGCCTGCTATTCCAGCACTTGCGAGATGGAGACAGGAGTATCACTGGGAGTTGGAGGCCAGCTGTTTCAAACACACACACACACACACACACACACACACACACACACACGAGAAACTCACACACTACCAAATTAACCCTCTGGGTACACAGCTCAGAGGCATCTGAAAGAGCCTATTGTCTGCACAACTCCAGGTCAGCTTGCAGCCTCAGAGGTGCCCCACCCTCCCTCCCCCCCTGAGCCTGTGCTGGTGACCTCTGATCTGCTTCCTGTCTGTGGTCTGCCTCGTTGGCCATGTCATAGAAATGGAGTTAGATGATATGTAACCTTTGATGTTGGGTTTTCTTCAAGGTTCTCTAGTATTTTAATTTATATTTATTTATTTTAGATTATTCATTATTTATTGTTATTGTGAATATGATTGAGTGTTTTGCTACAATCTGTGGAGGGCAGAGGATAACTTGCAGGAGTTGTTTCTCTTCTTGTACCATGAGGGTCCTGGGAGTAGAACTCAGGTCATCAGGCTTGGCAGCAAGCACCTTTACCCACTGAGCCATCTTGCTGACACAAGATTTTTTTTTTAACAGAGTATCATGTAGTCCACATTGGCCTTGAACTCATTATGTAGCCAGCCCAAGCTGGCCTTGAACTATGAAGTAAACACTAATCTTGAATTTTATACTGTGGTAAACAGAATCTCTACCTCACAAGTGTTGGGATTAAAGGTGCAAACTACCATGTCTGGCCTTGAGTTTTTGAGACAGGGTTTCTCTGTGTATCCCTGGCTGTCCTGGCACTTGCTCCTTAGACCAGGCTGGCTTCGAACTCACAGAGATCCACCTGCCTCTGCCTCCCGAGCGCTGGGACTAAAGGCGTGCGATACTATCACCCGGCTGCCTTGGGTTTTTGAAATAGAAACTAGTTCCATTTTTTCCATGCTCATGGCAAAACTGCTGGGCTCTCCACTTCTACTAAGACAGTTTAAGCTGTCCCTTCTGAGTGACAGCAGCTGGGTGTCCTCGATGCCCCCTCCTTCCTCCTCCATGCACAGCACATCCAGAGGTGATGTCAGCCTCTTGATCCCACCTTCATTTCATTTCAGCTCTTACTAGGCAGCCTAGGCCTGTCTTAGACGTAGGTCAGGACTGAAGCTGTGAAACACATCTGGCTCCCTCTACTTTCACAAGAAGTCCCCAGGAATCAGCTATTGCTGATAAGATCCAGGAGAGGCCTGAGAAAATACAGTACTCACCCCACAGTCAAAGCAGTTGAAGGAAGAGTGGAAGTAAGGCCGCGTCCCAAGCCCATACATTTTTATAAACATTTCGGACATAAAGAGTCCTAAGAAAATGAATTCTGCATAGTCTGAAAGGAAAAGGAAGAGGTGTGGGTTAGGCCATTGGGAAGGCTCCATGCCCTTGTGTTTTTGCCTGTGTCTCCCCATTAGGAAGGGAGGCAGAGACGATTCTCTGTGTATCATGGGCAATGATAGCTACGCAAGGATTCTTTTCCATGGGCCTTAGTATCTCATAGTTTTTAACCTGGATTGATGTAGAAAGCTGGGTGTAGGATATTGCTGTGGTTCTAGTTTTGTGTTGACTGATAGAACCCTGTGTGACTTAGTACATTTACTAAGTGAGTAGCTGGGTTTCAGGTATAAGCTATACATGTGTGGAACTCTTCCCCAAACTAGATGGTGAGAGGCAGAGGCTTTGAATCAGCAGTAGAAAGCCAGCCTAGAATCCTCCAAGGAGGCACTGGGGGTGTGGCTTAGTGGTGGAGCCTGTGGTTAGAATGCCCCAGTGAGGGGCTGGGGACCTGGCTCTGTGGTAGAGCACCAGCCTGGCATGCAGAAAACCTTGGGTTCCATCCCAGCTCTGCAACAGATAAATGAAGCACCAAGCAAAAGTAAGTATCATGCAAGGACAGGCTGTAGATTCAAAGCAATTCCTACAGACCTCAGAATTACAGCTCCAGAGCTAACTCTGCCTGGTGACTGCTGTGGTTTGAACACTTGTGCTCCCCTTGGGAAATCTGTGTTAATGCTTTTCTTTTTGAGATGGGGTCTCACTACGTAGTCTTGGCTCACAGAGATCTGCTTGCCTCTGCCTCCCAAGTTCTGGGATTAAAGGTGTGCACCACCACACCTGGCCTCTAAAACTGGTGGTGAAAGGTAACCAATCACCCAGGGAGCAGCTCTCGTGGTGAATAAAGCTCTTAGAACAGTGTGAGGTGGCTGAAGGAACCTCAAGTCCCAGTGCCCTGTGAACAGCACTAGATGAGCTGTAAGGGGGCTTGGTGTGGGGGTTCATCATCTGGACTCTCACGGGGACCTGCTGGTCACCCTTCCAAGAGGACACAGCACTGGGAACACAGAACAGCTTCCCAGTAGACAACCAAACCTTCCGAATGCCACATGCAGACTTCCCGGGCTCCAGGAATGAAAGAAAGGAACTAACTGTCTGTTGATATTAAGTCACCCAGCCTCAGGTGTTTTGTTGCAGTAGTGCAGATGGGCTAACATAACTGACAAGAGCCCTGGCTAGGCCCTGCTTTAAAGAGGTGGTTTGAATTGATTACCAAAAAGCCCTCACTGTCATTTCTTGTCATAGCTTCCCTTGATTTATAGGACTTTCTGGAGCACCTTGATTTAAACCCTTGAGTGTCTCGGACAGAGCAGCTAGAGAAGTAGATCTGACTCCAACATCTGGTCCCTCTGAGACCCAGCAGTAGCACCTCTATGAGGACAGGTGTCTCTGAGATGCTTGCTTCCTAGTTACCATGGAAACACGGGAGCTAGTGACACACAACACTAGAGCATTGGAGAGATTGGGAGAACCTCAGGACAATCAGACCCACCCTCTACCAGGTACAGAGAGGCCCTGAGTCCCAGATTCACATCTCAGTGATTCCAAGGGTGCTCACTTGCTCTGGTCTGGATTTCTCTGAAACTGCGCTGAATCTTACAGTCACGCTGTTTCTTTCTTTGTTACTCACAGAATGCCTTAGGACTGAAGACCTCTGACCAATGGATGGTAGACCAGTCATGCCTAAGGTGTAGGACTCTATCATCAGACATGGTTTGAACTTAGGAATACAACTGCCTGGGTCCAAACCCTGGATTCATCCCTTACAAGCTGTGTGACCTGGGAAGAGCCTCTTCATCCATTTATCTGTCTCTTTTTTCATTAACTAGAAAACAGGGCTAACTAAAAGACATCTACAGATACCAAAGCCTCTAGGCAGGAAGTTCTAATCCCATGCCTCCTTAACCAGGACAGACTGCAAGATGATTAGTGGAGGAAACTAGGCGACTAAAAATAGTGTGCAAGAAGAGGACATAAGAAGTAAAAGCCCTCGTTTACAGGCTCCAGAGGGAGCAGATACGATGAGCAGCTTGGAAACAGGTCAGACACAGAGGAAGGACAGTCCCCTTGGGTGTCCTGTGGGGTCAGACAACTAGCCTGGGGGACCACAAAGGTTCAAGGAAACAGTCCCCTAGACTAGAATTTAGGCCTTTCTAGGTCAAAGTCATGACCATCCCTTATGGCTGTCCTTGGCTACTTGTGAGCAAGCGCAGCAAACAGGTCAGAAAGCTAATAGCTCCAGGAGGAGGCAGCCAGTAGACACAAAAGATTAAGGGACCTCCAGGAAAGCCAGGCCATCCACACCCTTATCAGGCCCACACTTTCTTCTGTTGATTATCCTCAGAGTCTTTCCAGTCCTGGGGCCTCCCACCTTCCAGTGCCCAAGCAAATCCCGAAATGGCAAGAGTTCAGAGTACAAAAGCTTGAGGGTCCTGGTATCCACTGAGGAACTAAGACATGCCCACATTTGTTATAAAGCCCCATCTCAGGCAGATGGGAGGCAAAGGAATATGAAGAGAGGAAGGAGAGAAGTAAACCGAAGAAAGAAGGGGTGGGGGCCAAAGGTCCCCCAGTGTAGGGTTGTAGGCATGGCTCAGTGGCTATTATATGTAAATTCTAACTCTAGCATTGCAAAGAAGAGGGAGGGAGCAGGGGGCAGACGCTGTTACTGTCTGCAGGACAGCAGAGGGGCAGAGGGGTCACTGGCAGGACACTTGAGGTTTTAAGGTTCCCATCTTGAAAGGGCCCATCACATGGACGTCCTGAGCAGGGCTCTTAGTATTAAGCACATGCCACTGTCTCTGTGTGACTCTCGTGACCATTGTGTCTTATCTCCTCCATCTGTGCTTCATCTGTATCTTGCTTAGAAACAGTAACCTTGGGACTGTGAGAAAGATGGTCTGGGCAAGGCTGGTTATGTTCTGTGTCCCTGTCAATGGTTCATGTCATAAAAGGCAGGACAACAGTGTGGGAACACTGAGAGCCAGATTGGGCTTCAATAGCTGGAGCCTAGTGGGAGGTGCTTAGGACACTGGTGGTGTGCCTTGCTGCATGTCTGTCTTACTCTGAGTCTGTCTGTCTGCATTTATATCTATCTCTGCAAGTGTGTCTGCCTTTCTTTCTTTTTTTTACTACTTTATGCTTTGTGTATGAGTGTGTGTGTGTGCTCCTGTTAAGTCAGAGGACTTCTTGGAATCTTTTCTTTCTACCATGTGAGTTCTGGAAATCAATTCAGGTTTCTAGGCTTGACACCTGTGGCTTTACCACTGGGCCATCTAGCCAGCTCCTGTCTATCTCTTTTCTCTTTTTGATGTCTGTTTGTCTGTGTCTGTCTCAGCTTCCTGGATGCAGGTGTGATCAGGGCTCCAGCACACACCCCTTCCATCCCCATGTCACTCACCTTGAGCTGCCCAGAGATAAGCCAAAGCAGATGGCATCATGCCCTTGTCCCTGCCAAACCATGAGTCTTAGTCTGCTCAGCTGCCTCGGGTCTAACACTAGCCTAAGGCAGGTTCCACTGTGGCACCAGTGTGTGGCCCATTTTAGCTGCAGAAATGGCCAGAGGCTTGGGAGGGGCCAAAGGAAGAGCAGAGGCCAGCAGAGAGCAATGTCTAAGAGCTGCACTCACAGAGGAAGTCGGAGAGCCACTCGGGCTGGTTGTAGTGGACGATGGCGACGCACAGCGTATTGAGGGCTACCAGACTGAGCACGGTCCAGTAGAAGGCCTGAGTTTTGACCATGCGGCGGATGTAGAAACGCATCCTTCTCTCCTTTTTGTGAAAAAAAGTTGAGTTCTCCAGCTTGGCACTTTTAATGCTGGCTCTGGCGAAGGGAGACCCTGCCAGGGAAAAGAAAGGGCAGAGAAAGAGAAACTCAGGATGACCCTTGGTGAGGAAGCCCATCAACAGGAGGTCACATGAGAGGACAAGATGGAGCACGGCCCTGCGCTCAAGTCCCCATGGGAGCTACATGCTCCAAAGCCTCCAGGATGAGGGCTGCAGGATGCTCTTCCCAAGTGGTCAACATGGGCTTTCCACCTCTGCAGCTTGGTGTGCTGTTTAGAGCTTGGTGCATTTTAGATGTTGCAGGTCACTGGGAGCTGTTCACGGGCCCTGCTCTTATCAGGCACTGAATTGGGGACAAGGCAGAGACAGAATTCCCACCCACACAAAAGTTGCCATTCAAGGAGAAGACACATTAAACAGAGATTTGGAACTAAGGGATAGCTCGGTCAGTAAGGATTTGTCCCCAACCACAAAGACCTAAGTTCAACCCTAGAACCCACATCAAACCGGTACAGAGCAGAGCACATTTGTGATCTAGCACTGGTGACAGGAGACTTTCTGGCCAGCCAGGCTAGCCTAATCTCTGAGTCCAGGTCAGTGAAGAGACCAGATCTCAAAGGAGGGGGCAGGGTTCCTGAGGATGCCACTTCTGGCTGTCCACCCACACAGACATGAATAGGTGAGTGATTCAGAAGGACCTGCTGTGTCCTCCGCTGGCCTCTAATGCAGGCAGGGCACACACACCTGCACACACAATATACACACCACTTATGCCAAACTTAAATCTAACTGGAATGTAATAATAGTTTTTAAGCATTTATTTTCGTGTGTGTGTGTGTGTGTGTGTGTGTGTGTGTGTGTGTGTGTGTGTGTGTGTGTATACAGATGTTCCCGAGACCAGGAGAGGACTAGAGTTACTGGTGGCTGTGAGCCATCTGATGTGGGTGTAGAAACTGAGTTCAGGTGTTTTAACCCACTGAGCGTCTCTTTCAGCCCCACATGTAATGCTTGATTGGAGAACTCTACTCGCAGAGGCTCCCCTTTCTCTCATGCTCTACAGTCTTCATTTTATTTATTACTTTTTTTCTTTATTTTTTTGACAGTGCCAAGAATGGGACTCAGGGTCTTACACACAGTAGGCATACATAGTAGGCGAACATGCCATTACTGAGTCATGGTCCCCATCTTTTAAAATAATTTTTATAAAAATAATTACATTTGGGGCTGGAGCGATGGCTCAGAGGTTAAGAGCACTGACTGCTCTTCCAGAGGTCCTGAGTTCAGTTCCCAGCAACCACATGGTGGCTCACAACCATCCGTTATGAGATCTGCTGCCCTCTGCTGGTGTGCAGATATACATGGAAGCAGAATGTTGTATACATAATAAATAAAATCTTTAAAAAATACATTTTATACAAGTAGATACAAATTGAAGATAACTATGATGAATTGGACAAGTTATTATTTACTACGGCTTCTGTATGTGTGTCCCTGTCCACCAGGCCAGCAGAGGATGTCAGATACCCTGGAGCTAGGCTGTCATGAGCTGCCCTATGTGGGTGCTGGGAATGGATCCAGTCTCACAAGGGCAGTGAGCACTCTTTCCGCTGTGCTGACTGCAGCCTCTGCAGGAGGTTCTGAAGCATGTCTACACTACAGCATGGCCAGCTTGAGACAGTTACCATGTGCACTACTGTTAGGGTTTGCATCTTCAATGCTTCCAGGTCTAGCAGAAATGGGAGGTGGTGGACCCTTTATGAGATGGGGCCTAGAGGGATGTGCTTTGTCATCTGGGAAGAGGGAATCTTAATTGAGAAATCACCTCTGTAAGATTGGTCTGTAGGCAAGTCTGTGAGAACATATTCTTAAGAGATTGGCGTGGGAGGGAGGGGCCCAGCCCACTGTGGGTGCTGCCACCACTGAGCAGGTGGTCCTGGCAAGCCAGGAAGTCCCACTGCTCCACTGCTCCCCGGCTCATGCATCAGCTCCTGCCTGACTCCTCCCTACCTTTCCCCCTCTGCTCCCTGCTGCTGAGAGCAGCTGCTTCTGCCACACACTTCCACCACAACAATGTGCTGCTCACAAAGGGAACAGGGGTGAGTGATAGTTGCCTGGAGCCTCCTGGTTATGAGCCCAAATCAACAGCTACTCCTTGCCACTTGATTGCCTCAGGTAATGTGGGTAAACAGTGACTTTTCTTTCAGGAGAGCACGTACAAATCTCTCAGCTGTCTGTGTGTATGTGCATGATTGTATGTGTATGTGTTCATGTGGGCACTCATATATCTCATACATGTGTGCATACCTACATGCTTGTGAATTCTTGTACTCACGTGCACTCGTGTGGAGGCCAAAAGTCTTTAGGTACCATTTAAATTCACTTTTTTTTTTTTTTGAGATAAAGTTTGGAACTTGCCTCCTAGCTTACACTGGCTAGCCAGAGAGGCAGGGAGCCACCTGTCTCCACTTTCTCTAGCCAGCAATTATTAGCATGCAGCACCACACCCAACTCTTTGAGCTTGATTCCTGGAGGATCAAACTCAGGTCCTCAGGCTTGCTTGCACAGCCGGCACTTTAGCCACTGAGCCATCTTCCCAGCTCTCCAGCCATTTAAAAACATATAATACACTGCTACACATGGTCTGAATGCATCATCAATGGAGCTCTTGAAGGAACTTGCTCTGTAGCAGACATTTTGTGTCCTAGGCCCCCGCCCAGGTCCCCTTCCTTGCCCCACAGCCAGCTCCTCAGTGGTGAGTAAGCTTGCTATGGTATGCTCATTGGCTAATTCACAGCACAGTGAGTGGGGCCAGTGAAGAACTATAACCATAGAGTTTTCTTAGAGTTCTGGGATCCCAGATAGCCCTTCTAGGAAGCCAGGGGTTGTTAGCGCGGGCTCCCCTCCTTTGTGGCTGGGCAGATTTGCTGCCTAAATGGAACCCACCACAAGATATCAGACCACAGATTGTGTTTGAGGTCCATTTAGAAAGTTGAAAACATTTTTGTGTGTGAGTGTACAAAGCACACGTGTTTGTGTATGCACTCATACACATGGTTCATATATGGAGAACAACTCTGGGTGACCATCCCCACCTTCCCCCTTGTTTGAGAAGGACTTTTGTTTGTTGTTTATTTGAGACAGGGCCTCACTATGTAGCCTTGGCTGGCCTGGAATTCACTAAGTACACCAGTGTGGTCTTGAATCCTCAGAAATCCATCTGCCTCTGCTTCCCCAGTGCTGGTACTAGAGGTGTATGCCACAGGCTCATTGAAACAAGGTCTTTTTGTTGTTCTTCACTGCAAGATAGCTGGCCTTTGAGTTTCCAGGAGTGCCTCTGCCTCCCCCTCACTGTAGAATTACAGACACATGCCACTGACTCTGGCTTCCCATGGGTTCTGAGTCAGGCCCTCACACTTGCAAGGCAAGGCTCTACTCCCTGAGCCAGCTCCCAGGCCTCAATGTCTTTTAAATGTGTTTGGTTTTGTGATGCTTAGAAGGCAGTACCTTATGCCTTCCGAGCAAGCACTGTGAGCCCCACTCTAGCCCCTGCTCTTATTTATTCAAACAGAAGCAATCCAGCCAGAGCCACTGGAATGCATGTCTCCTGCACAAGAGAGTAAGTCACTTTTGAAGAATTCAGTCAGCAAAGGGGCCAGAGATGGAGCTGAGTAGGAGAGGGGGCTCCCAAGGCACTCACTAGGCTGTGCCCTCAGCTTTGCAAAACCAAGCACACAAATAAATAAAAGTTGCATAATCTACAATTAAATAATGGGTGGTGATGGCTCACACCTTTAATCTCAGCACTTGGGAGGCAGAGGCAGGCGGATCTCTGTGAGTTCGAGACCAGCCTGGTCTACAAGAGCTAGTTCCAGGACAGCCTCCAAAGCCACAGAGAAACCCTGTCTCGAAAAACAAAACAAAACAACAAAATAATAATAATAATGCCAAGTGATTTATCATAAATAAAGCAGGAACGTTACAGACTTATGCCCCTGCCAACAGCATCCAAGAATGTCCATTTCCCCTCATCCTTGTTAGCATGGGCCTGGATCAGTTTTTCATGTCTCTCAGAATGAAGGACAAGGAAGACCAGAAGCTCACTAAGAGTAGGCAACCATCTAATTCACAAGATCTTAATTTGAGTTCCCAACTACACAACAATATCAGCAAAGAAACTTGCCTACCAAGATAGAGCAAAGCAAAGAGTGGGGCCTTCGAGATGCCTGCCTAGGCCTTATGACTGGAGTTGGATCTCTGGGACCCACATGCTGGAAAGACAATACCTACTTCTGCAAGTTGTCTTCTGGCTTCCACGTATGTATGGTGACATGCATGCCTGCACACACACACACACACACACACACACACACACACACACACACACTCACTCACACACATATATAAAATTTTTTTTGAGACAAGGTTTTACTATGTAGCCTTGGCTCATCTGGAACTCTAGGTAGAAAAGGTTGACCTCAAACTCGTAGAGATCCACCTGTTCCTGCCTCCTGAGTGCTGGGATTAAAGTCATGTGCTTCCTCATCTGACCAGACTTACTTTTATTTCACATGTATGAGTGTTTTGTCTGCATGTATGTAAGTGCACTATGTGTACTTGGGGAGGCCAGAAAAGGATGTCAGATCTCTTTAGAGTTACAGGTGTTTGTGAGCTGCCATGTGGATACTGGGAATTGAACCCTGGTCCTCTGCAAGAGCAGCCAGTGCCCTTAACTTTCTGGGATATCCCTAACAAAAAATGTAATTAAAAAAAATGAAGTAGGCCAGGTATGGTGGCCCACCTTAAGTCCCAGAACTTGGGAGGCAGAGGCATTTAGATCTTTGTGAGGTTCAGACCAGTCAGGGTTACATGGTGAGACAAAAGAAAAAAGGAGGAGGGAAAGAAGGGAGGGGAGACAGAGGGGGAGAGAAGGGGGGAAGAAGGGGAAGGGAGAGGGAGGGAGAGAGAAAAGAGAAAGAGGGAGGAAGGGAGGGAGGGAGAGACAAAGAGAGACAGAGAGAGACAGAGACAGAGACAGAGAGAGAAGAGTCCTTAAGGCCAACTGAATGCATGAAGTGAAAACAGACATTTGCAACCAACACCTTCTCAAAAGACATGACTAGGTGCGCCCACAAATGGAAACAGAAGTAATAGTCACTATAAACAAAAGTGTTTGGGCCAGAAATTGAAAATAAGCTTTAAAACAGCACTACAAAGCTCCTTAACTGGGAAAGGGAGTGTGCAACAGCCAGGGTGGGGAACAGTGAGAATCTGTGTCCTGGACAACTCATGAATGAATGTCCTGTAATTCAAGTGCAGAAAGGCTTAGGGAGTGAGGAGCTGGGAAGTCATTCATATCTTTGATGCTGTAATTATCCCCAGGAACACGCCCCGCCCACACTTCCAGTGTGCACAGCAGGGTTCGTCAGAGAAACTGGCAAGGAGGCTATGTCATCTGTTAAAACCACCCTCCGGGGACCAGAGAGTTCTGTGAGGAGAGACGGTGAGATCAGAGGGGAGTGTATGCAGGAACCCCTCCATCGCTCCCCCAGATATCCTGGGTGCCGTGCCTACAGAGCTTGGCCTCTGTACTAGCCAGTGGCACTGCTGAAGAGCCACCTTCCCAATATGAGCCTTCAGCTCTCAAATGTCACCTCCTCTTCTGAGGAGCCTTCCCTGAGCATGCTGTACTGTGTCAGAGTGGGCAAGCCTAGGTTTCACCTATACAGCCCCTGTTATTCTAGTGGGATATAACTTTTCTAGTGTGTTTTAGATTTAAAAAATTGAGTTATTAATTATATTACTGTGTGGAAGAGCTCACACATGTGCCACAGTGTGCGTGTGAAGGCCAAAGGACTCCTATCACGTGGGTCCTAGGGATCAAACTCAGGTCAAGCTTGGCAGCCAGCACCTTTGTCTGCCAACCCATCTTTTAACTTCCTTTGTTTTTGTTCTAATGTGCATGTGTTTGTATGTACGTGTGTTTGCATGTTCACATCTGTGTGGGTGGACAGCCAGAAGTAGAATCCTCAGGAACCCTGCCCTTTCCTTTGAGATCCCATCTCTCACTGGCTTGGACTCGGAGATTAGGCTAGCCTGGCTGGCCAGAGTCTTCTGTCACCAGCGCTGGATCCCAAGTATGCTGTGCTCTGTCCAGGTTTGATGTGGGTTCTGGGGTTGAACTCAGGTGTTCCTGCCTTCAAGGCAAGCAATTACTGACTGAGCCATCCTCAGCCCAAATCTCTTTTTAATGTGTGTTCTCATTGGGTGGTAACTTTTGTGTAGGTGGGAATTCTGTCTCTGTCTTGTGCTGAACTCAGGACCCAGTATGAACGCAGCACCCATCCCAAACTCAGTGACCAGTGACCCTAGACTGACATTCCTGATCCATGTTGGTGCTGGCAAGACTGGTAAAGTGCTTTGGAACTCCCGAAAGTTGTCTTCTGGCCTCCATAACAGTGGCATGAGGGACCTTGCCCAATACATCATACACAACAAAATAATAAATAAAATGTAAACATATACATTATTTCATGTATAGAATGTAATTTATTTATTGTGTGTCTGTGTAATCTACAGTGAGTGTGGAGGTCTGAGGACAACTTTTGACAGTCGGTTCTCTCCTTTCACCACACTGATTCTGGGTATTGAACTCAGGTCATGAAGCTTAGTGGCGAGCCCTTCACCTGCTGAGCCATCTTGCCTGCCTACAACATTGCTGTTGTTATTATTATTGTACTATTTTTAGACAGAATCAGACCATATAACTCTTGCTGTCCTGGAACCCATAGAAATGCATGTCATGGGATTAATCCATTTCCAAAAGCATTTTTAAAGGAGTCTGAAGTTAACTTTAGGCTTTGTGTATGAGAAATGAATAAATGTTGTGTTTAGACTTTGGTCTCACACCTAAGACACGACACACATATATGGAAATACTCCCAAATCTGGAAATCTGAAACAATCAGAATCTGAAACACTTTGGGTAGAGGATTTTGTTTTGGTATGTTTATTTATTTATTTATTTTTGGCTGGGAACTCATTATGTAGACCAGGCTGGCCTTTGCCTCCTGAATGCTGAGACCAAAGACATGTGCTTTAGAGTACAGACATTCAGCCATAATGAACTTACCCAAGGAACTAGGAGCCTGCTGGAACTGGATGTAAATAAGTAAAGTCTGGACTTACACCTACAGTAAAGAGATCTGTGGGGCTCATTTAGTTGAGACACTACAATATGAGGAGACAGAATCTAGCCAGGTATGAAAAACAAAACCAAAAAACCAAAGCAGCCAGGGGTGGTCACTATTTTCATCATAACGTAACATCCAGGGCACTGGCACACCCACCCGCCCAGTCCTCAGGCTCAGCCTCTCATTTCTTGGTTATGGGCAGTGATTGCTACAGAGGTGGGACTTACCTACAGACGCGATGTCAGCCAGCTGGTCCTCGGCCTCCTCAGGGTTGAGCAGGTCCGTCTTGCTTTTCTTCAGGGTAGCTCTCCGCAGAGCTCCAACAAGGGAAACATGGCGAGAGAAGACGGCATTACCCTTTTATGCCAGGGTTGCAGCAGACACCACATACTGCCATGCCCACTAGTCCACAGTGTGCCCACGATATTCATGCACAGCCACCACTGGGGCAGGCAGGGAGTCCAAACCAAAGTCCAGTGCTGTTCAGTTTCAGTTCAAAGTCTAGGCTCAGAAACACTATTTTCAATCTGGCCAGTTTTTGTTTTTTATTTTAATTAACAATTATTATTTTATGTGCATGGGTATCTTGCCTGCAAGTATATCTGTGCCTCACATGTGTACAGTGCATACAGAGGTCAGAAGAAGGCGTCAGATTTCTCAGGACTAGAGTTACAGAAGGTTGTGATCTACCATGTGCGTGCTGGGAAATTAAACCCATGTCCTCTGCAAGAACAGCCAGTGCTCTTGACTGCTGAGCCATCTCTCCAGTCTTTCTTGTTTTTTTTGAGATAGGGTCTCACTATGTAGCCCTAGTTGTCCTGGACCTCACAGAGATTCACCTGCTTCTGCCTCTGGAGATTACAGGAGTGCATCACCACACTGGCTCTGGTCTGTTTTAAAAACAGTCCTGGGACAGGAGGTATAGTCCACCCTTAACCGAGCACATGCGTGCTGGACCAGCTGGGGCTGGGGCAACTGTTCTGTGCCAAGGCTTGTTCCCCAAAGCTCTGCAGCAGACATACATTCTAGCAGAGACTTGGAACCCCCACAGAAAATAGCTCTCTACTACCAAGTAAAGGATCTAGGGTTCTTGATTTTTTTTTTGTCATTTTGCTATTTTAAAATTTTCCTAGCTGGGTGCACGCCTTTAGTTCCAGCACTGGAGAGGCAGAGGCAGGCAGATCTCTGTGAGTTCGAGAGTCAGCCTAGTCTATAAGAGCTCTGTCTTTCTTGGCAGTGCTGAGGCTGAAACCCAGGACTTTATGCAAGTGTTCTGTCACCAGTCTACACCTCTAGACAGATGGAATTCTTCCTTTCATTATTAGTAATATTGTGTGTGTGCTCATGCATATGTGTGTGAGGTGTGTGAGGTGTGTGTGTGTGTGTGTGTGTGTGTGTGTGTGTGAGAGAGAGAGAGAGAGAGAGAGAGAGAGAGAGAGAGAGAACACTTCTTTCTCTACTTCTGCCATGTGGGTTCTGGGGATGGAACTCAGGCCACTAATCTTGGACACAGACACCTTCACCCACTGAGACACCTCACCAATACTATTATGCCCATGTTACAGAAGGGGAAAACTGGACACACGGCTAAGGAGAAAAGGGCAAGTAGGAATAGAACCTGTCCTCCTCCTCCCTGCATTCTGAAATTCCTCCCAGAGGCCCATTCTTCAATTACTCAAACCTTGCACAGCTCAGTTGCACAACCCCACACCCCTGGGACCTGCCTTCATGCTGGGCTCAGAGCAGTTACCATCAAAAGGGTGCCTCTGCTCCACGTCCGTCTCGTCCTCCGCGAGGATCACCTCTTCTAAGGAGAAGACAGAGTTAAGGTCCTGCCTGAAGGGCTCTCCAGGGGATTGACCCTCAAGGACTATGAAGAAAAGACTCCTGGCCACACCCACTGTCCCCCCAACCATCTGGTCCAATTAGCCTGATCCAGGCAGTTTACTGTTTCCTGCATCTTGGCCCCACCTAGCAGAGGGTGCAATTGGCAGCACAAGTAGTTTGGATGTGATTTAGGCACAGCTGGGCTCCACGCTGTGGAACAGTGCTTTGGGCAGGAGGCAGCAGAGGGGGTGGGGGCTTTAAGAGACAGGTCCTTAAATTACAGGAAGGCTCTTATGGGACATCTGAGCTCTTTGTACAAGTAAGCTATCAGGCCAAGCCCGTCCAAGCTCCACCAAGTCCACCACAGACCTAGAGTCGCCACCAGGCTGAGATCCATCAACCTTAGTGAAACATCCGCACTGGCTCACACATTTGAGCCCTTGGTCCCCACATGGTGATGGTGTTTGGGAATGTTGCCATGGAGGAGAGTCACTGGGGGGCGGGCCTTCAGGCTTATAGTCCAAGCCCCACATGTTGTTCTGGTTCTGCTTGCTTGAGAGTGTGAATGTCATGTGACCAGCCAGCCTCCTGCTCCTGCCACCATGCCTCCCCTTCCTGCTGCCAGTCTACCCACCATAACAGACTCTACCCTCCGGAGCTATGAGCCAAAATAAACCCTTTCTCCCTTCTATTGTTTTTGTCACAGCAACCAGAAAGTAAGACACACTTTGTAACTGCGTATGTTTAACTCTTTATGATGTCTGTCTGCCTCAGATACTTTGTGATAACCACAACTGGATGAATGTAACAGCATCAGATCACCTCAGTCTACCTGGCCATGCTTCCCTGCTCATTCTGCTCTGCGTCTTCCCTGCCCCCTCCTTCATACTTCTCCAGGGACACCCATCTCTTGTGTTTCCACTGTGTTTCTCCTCCAGGATCTCTGCACTGGCCCTTTCCCCTCCTCCACCTCTCCCCCACTCAGCATCCCCAGCACGTCCTTTACGTCTCTGCTCAGACTTTTTTTGTTCAGGGAGACCTTAGCTGTCCATCCGACCCCAAGTGTTCCCTGCCTGCTACCTTGCCTTTTTTCTTCCCCACTTCTGTGTTTGAGACAGTCTCACTGTGCAGCCCAGACTGGCCTCCCATTCCTGATCCTCCTACTTTACCTCCCAAGTGCAGGGATGACAAGTGTGCAGCATAATGCCTGGTCTCTTTCTCCTTCTTAGCTCTTGGTGGGGAGCCTGTCTCTCACTAGCCAGTAGCAGGGATCTGCCACATTCTCAGTGTACAGTGGTGCATGGCAAAGACCAGGTGCCTGGTAAATAAACGTGTGCCTACTGACTGTCAGTTGCTACTCTGAGCATCTCTGTTTGATCGTCTTATTGAACTTTCCTCAACAGCCCTGGGAGCAGGTAGTCCCCTCCCCCACAGGCATGGACTCTGCTTCCATGGATTGAACCCAACACAGACCTGAAATACGTAGACAAGAATGCATCTATATGTTGCAGAATATTAGTTTAAGATGTGTTGCTTTTTTTTTTTTTTTTTTGGTTTTTTGAGACAGGATTTCTCTGTGTAGCTTTGGAGCCTATCCTGGCACTTGCTCTGGAGACCAGGCTGGCCTCAAACTCACAGAGATCTGCCTGCCTCTGCCTCCCGAGTGCTGGGATTAAAGGCGTGGGCCACCAACATCTGGCTGTATTCTTTTATGTTGCATTTGTTTAACTCTGTGAAGCTGTGCTGCTGTGCCTGTCTAAAACACCTAACGGTCTAATCCAGAGCTGAACGGCCAATAGTGAGGCAGGAGAGGGCTGGGTGGGGCCGGCAGGCAGAGAGAATAAATAGGAGGAGAAATCTAGGGAAGAGGATCGAGAAAAGGAGGAGAGGAGGACACCAGGGGCCAGGCACCCAGGCACCCAACCAGCCACACAGTGAGAAGGGAAGAAAAATATTTATAATAAAGAAAGGTAAAAAGCCCAGAGGCAAATGTAGAAGAAGACAAACAGATTAATTTAAGTTAGAAAATCTGTCTAGAAACTAGCCAAGCTAAGGCCAGGCATTCATAAGTAAGAATAAGTCTCCATGTATTTATTTGGCAGCTAGGTGGAGGGCCCCCAAAAAGTTAAAAAAAATACCCAACTGCATCTATACCCAACATTTACAGACATTTTTCTTGTCATTCCCTAACAATATACAACTGCCTTAGGCACTAAGTTACTGTGCATCAGAGGAGCCCAGGGGAGGTATGTGACAGTTGTGGAGATAGAAGAGGTCATTTTCCCTAAGGGGTCCATGGATTTGCTGTTTTGGTGTCTGTGAGATCCTGAAACCAATCACCCAGATACCACTGGATTACTTTACCATCGTTTCCTTAATTGAACAGTTAAGGAAACTGAGTCATAGGTGATGTACAGGGCTAAGAGGAATTGGAGATGGAACGTGTACCCATGTTTGGTTTAAAACATGACTAGGGTAAACCAGGAGTGGTAGAAGCAATAGGATCAGGAATTCAAGGTCATCTTTGGCTAGTTTGAGACTAGTCTGGGCTATGTGAGCCCGTCTCAAAAACAAACAAAATGTCATCTCAAAGTGGCCTTTCTTTCTTTCCTTCCTTTTTATTTGATGGGAGGAAGGTCTTACTATATAGGCCCAGTTAGGTTCAAATATAACCTTTGTGAGCTGGGCGTTGGTGGTGCACGCCTTTAATCCCAGCACTCGGGAGGCAGAGGCAGGCGGATCTCTGTGAGTTTGAGGCCAGCCTGGTCTCCAGAGCGAGTGCCAGGATAGGCTCCAAAGCTACACAGAGAAACCCTGTCTCGAAAAAACAAAACAAACAAACAAACAAAAACAACCCCCCCAAAACCCCCCAAAACAAATATAACCTTCCTGCCTCAGCCTCATGTGATGATTTTAATGTCAACTTGCCACCAAATTAGAACCCTCTGAGTGGGAAGCCTTGCCTGAGAAATTGTCTTGTCTTAACAACTGGTGTGGAAAGAATATGTTAGCAGCCCAGATGGCCATGGCGTGGCAGGAGGCAGGGTATCTGGCCTTCTCTCTCATAGGAGTCAATTTCTGCTTCATTTGCTGCTGCGATTCCTTCACTGACATGAGAACCAACATTTTCAGACTTCTACTCTGACTGAAGACAGACAGTGACTCTCCAGGAACTTGCCAGGTTTTTGGTACTAGATAGGGACTGCCAAGGCACCCAAACTTGTGGATGGAGGAACTACTGGGTCCCTGGTCTTTGCAGTATGGAGAGCAAGCCAGCAACCAGTGTTCCTCCATGGTCTCTGCTTCAGTTCCTGCCTCAAGGTTTCTGCCTTGAGCTTGTGCCCTTGACTTCCTCAACAATGGGCTGTAAAGTGTAAGCTAAAATCAGCCCTTTTGGTCACAGTGTTTGTCACAGGAAGAGCAAGTGAACCAGCAGAGCCCCCAGCACTGGGCTACAGGTGTGCACTGCAGGCCTTACTCTGCTGTGGATCTTACCGCTAAAATCTGAGGCTAGCAGTTTGGATCCTCTTTCTCCTCCCATCATCACCCTCCCTTAGGCCTCTTCAAAGTGCAGGTATGACTCTGGGTTGTCCATGACCAGAATGCCCATCCTTGGACCCCAAGATGAAAGGGCCTCACCTGCTTTTGAGATCCACTCCATGTATCCATTGAGCTCACGCTCAATCTGCTGTTGTCTCCTGAGTTTCAGAAAGGCCCTCCGGTTCTCCACACGTTCTCTTTCTTTGGCAAACTCCCTGCAGAATCACAAAGAAGCCAGAGGTTGGTGGCCATGGAGCTCCATTGGTAAATACCTGGTGACCATGCACAGAGTCCTGGGTTCCCTCCCCAGCACAGCAGGAACCTGGCAAAACAGTGCATGCCATTTATCCCAGCACTCAGAAGACGGAGGTAGGAGAATCACAACTCAAGGTCACTGACTAGAAAGACCATCCTGGGCTAGTGAGACCCTGTCTTAAAAATAAACTAAAAAACAAACAAACAAACAAAAAAACAAAAAAAACCCCAAAGTATCTTGACTCCCTCAACAAAGCCAAAAACAGATTCTGTTTTTAAGGAAGAATTTAAGAGGCCATGTGTGTTTGGGGGTTCAGTGAAGGCAGTGGCTCTCAACACAGCAGTCAGTCCTCAAGGAGGCCGTCCTAATCTTTCTGACAGTGCACACACCTCCAAACGTTCCCACACATCTGGACCAAAAAGGCAAGAGCATGAAGCTAAGCCAATCACTGCTGACACACACACACACACACACACACACACACACACACACACACACACACACACACGAGTCCCCACCACCCCCAGAACATTTCTGCTAAACCCTTCCAGCCCTTTTTCTGTCAGCAGCTCTCCTTCCCTGTGGCTCTGCAGCCATCTTGTGAGTATCTTGAGATATCAACTATCTGCCAACAAAAGTCTTGGTTACAGATGTCAGGGAGGAACCCTGGAAGAATTGGGGATCGCTGTTGGCAGTATGGAGCTACATTATGAGCTCCCACACTTCTTTGCTGAGAAATATGAAGTCTATTCATAGTTAAGGGTTTTTGTTATTAAAGTAATTTTTGGGACTTGGGGACCATTTGTGTTAGGCGAATGCATTTAACATACTTATTTATAAATTTTATTTACGTGTGTGTGTGTGTGTGTGTGTGTGTGTGTGTGTGTGTGTGTGCCATGCTTGAGCAGATGCCTTTGGCATCTAGAAGAGGGTGTCTGATTTCCTACAGCTGGAGTTACAGGTGGTTGGTTACAGGCTGCCCAATGTGGATACTGGGAACTGAACTTAGGTCCCCTGTAACAGCAGTAACCACTCTTTTTTGTTTTAGATTTATATGCTTGAGTGTTTTGCCTGCATGTATGTATGAGCATCAGGTGTGTGCCTGGTGCCAGAGGTCAGACCTCTGGGACCCATCATATAGGTGATGCTGAGTTATCTCTCCAGCCCCCTCCCTTTTTTGAAGCAGGGTATTACTGTAGACCAGTCTGGCCTTGAACTCCCAGAGATCCACTTGCCTTTGCCTACAGAGTGCTAGGATCAAAGATGTGCATCACCACGACCAGCTTATCAGTAAACATGTTTGACTGCTGGGCCATCTCCCAAATTCCAAGCAAAATGCATGTTTGATTCTGTTATATATTTTTTTTGTTGTCATTGTTTTATTTTTATGAAACAGGGTCTGACTCTGTAACCCAGCTTGGCCTGGAACCGACTATGAAGTAAATTTTCAGTAATTCTCTTGTCTCAGCTTCCTGAGTGCTGAGATTATATGTGTGAGTCACCACCCACTGCTTCATAGTTTTTTATTTGTTTAATTTATTTTTTAAAGATTTATTTATTTGCATTTTATGCGTATGGGTGTTTTGCTTCCTTGTATGTCTGTGTACTATGAATGTACTTGATGCCTGGAGGTCAAAAGAGGTTGCTGGATTCCCTGGAACTAAAGTTAAAATTGTTGCTAATGGCCGTCTGGGTTAACCTGGGTCCTCTGGAGGAGCAGCTAACTCTCCTAAGTGCTCTTAACTGCTGACCATTTATGCAGCCCCTTATTTATTTATTTATTTATTTATTTATTTATTTATTTATTTATTTATTTATTTATTTATTTATTTATTTATTTATTTATTTATTTATTTATTTATTTATTTATTTATTTATTTATTTATTTATTTATTTATTTATTTATTTTTGAGACAGGGTTTTGTTTCAAAGCCTGGGACAGCCTGGACCTCACGATCCTCTTTCCTTAGCCTCCTATGCCGGGATCACAAACCCATGCACCACACATGACTTGTGTGCTATGATTATTTGAAAGGCAAGAAAGGGGGAACCCAAAGTATTGTTTTCTTTTAATTACTCTTTCTTAAATTTATCTATTTTATTTTATCCATATTGATGTTTTGCCTGAATGTATGTCTGTGTATCACAGATGTGTTGAATTCCTTGGATCTGAGGTTACAGACAACTGTCAGCCAGCCATGTGGATGCTATCAATTGAACTGTGGATGAGCAGTCAGTGCTCTCAAACAAGTCATCTCTTCAACTCCCCAAAGTATTGATGTTACTAGAGGTTCTTGTCCCACTAGGTCCTGCTGCCCTCAAGCCCCAAATAAGCACACGGATGCTATATTAGTTATAAAACTGTTGGTCGATGGCTAGGGTTTTTTATCGGCTAGCTCTGTCTTAATTATTAACCCATTTCTATAAATCTATGTATTTCCACGTGGTCTTAGCTGACTGGAGAACACCTAGTGTGTCCTTTCTTCCCGGTCCCTACATGGCATCCCCACAAAGCCTCTCTCCCAGCCTTCTCCTCATCTCCTAGCCCTGCCTATTTTCCTGCCTCTACTGGCTACTGGTCAAACAGTGTTTTATTCATCATATTGATTTTATAAAAATAAAAACTAACAAACAAAAAGCCCCAGAAGGGCTTCTTCATTGGTTGACCCTAGCGGCATACAATCTATGCAGCTGGCTTACTAATGAGAGTCTTGCTGATTGAGAACCAGGAAGGAAGTTTATTCATGTTCGATGGAGGGCAAAGTAGCAGAGACTTACCCAGATAGCACACCCAGCACAAGGTTCAGCATAAAAAAGGAGCCGATGATGATGAGGGGAATGAAGTACAACCAGTTCCAAGTGTTCCCTGAGGCATCATTGCTCTGCAGAGTGCAAAGAGGGAAAGCATGTGAGATGGGAGTTGGGCACAGGTGGGACTGAGGAGGAGCAACAGTGTTAGCCTCATGTCTCCTGTGATTCTGTTTCAATTGTTCCTGACTTGTGGAATCCTGGCACATTGGAAGCCACATGAGGGATGTGGAAGGTAAAGTTTAGATGGTGGGGAATATCACCAAGGTGCCACCAGGGGACAAAGCTCTCTCATGTCACACACAGTTTTTTTTTGGGGGGGGGATTTTCAAGACAGGGTTTCTCTGTGGCTTTGGAGCCTATCCGGGCACTTGCTCTGTAGACCAGGCTGGTCTCGAACTCACAGAGATCCACCTGCTGCTGCCTCCCAAGTGCTGGAATTAAAGGCGTGCACAACCAATGCCCAGCTTCACACACAGTTCTTAAGGCATCTGGGAGCCAAGGTGATGCCTAGGAGGATTTTGGACCTGAGTCTGAAATGAGAAGGAACCCCCCCCCCACACACACACCTCACACACACCCCCTGAAATGTAGAAAGGAATGAATCTTGGATCCCACTCTTATCTTTACATAGTCATCATTTTCCCTTAGAGGAAGCATATGGCTACAGTGTCTCATGGTCTGGTGAACTCAGAGCCACAAGCCTATTCCTCAAGTATCTCCACCACGCCCTGGGATGTGATGAGAATCACAGCAACACAAACCTATCTCTAGGATGTGTCCAGATAATTCTGCAGGGAGGAGGAGTCTGCAGATAGCATACTCTTGAAATGAATAACAGAAAACTGAGAGAGGAGAATGAGAGGAAAAGAAGAGGAAGACAGAAAATGAAGAGGATGAAGTGGATGTGAGGGGAAGGGAAAGTTGGCTGTAGGGAACAACTGGTATGAGCATTAATCGAGCATTTACTATTTGCCTGTCCTCCTCTATATTAATTCACTTGTCTCCTCTTCACAAAGCCCCACACAATCACCATATGCATTTTTACAACTGGAATGAAGACTGAGAAAGACAACCAACTAGCCCAGAGTCACAGAGTGCCAGGTGTGGATTTTGAATGTCCAAATCTGTGGACCTGACCTGTTTCCTGGAGAAGATTCTCCTCCAGTCTAGGGATGGTGGATCCTCCCAGTGGTTGGTCACCTGTAACACTTGGAAAATGTGGGGCTCTTAAGTGTGGCTTTAAAAGCTCATTTTTAGAAGCAAGCACAAATACTATAGAGTGGAACTCTATGGTCAATTTGTGGATGTGGTTGGTTCTTTTGAAGGCTGGGAGAGGATCTGTTTCCTGTCTCTCTCCAGACATTTGGTACTTTTCTGGTCATCTTGTGTCACCCACCTCCAACTCTGCCTTCATCTTAACATGGTCTGCCTCTTATGTTTGTCTTTTCATAAAGACATAAGTCTAATTTGTTTAGGGACATCTACTGATCCCAATGTATTGAATTACATGTGCAGTGACTACTTCCAAATCAAGTCATATTCTGAGCTACTGGGGTTTTTGTCACTATGATTTATTGTTGTTTGTGGTGCTGGGCACAACCTTGTGCAGTTGACACAGTACTCTAGACCTGAACCACACACCCAGACCTGTGTGTTTTCTCAGGAAGGGTATCATAATGTAGCCCAAGCTGACCTCAAATTCCTGATTCTACGGCCTGGGATGACAGTCAGGCACTAGCACATCAAAATAACACATAAGGTTTGAGAGGACAGAGTACTCTGAGAAATAATGGTTTCTACTCAAACTGGTAGGTGCATTACCAAGCCCTAGCCAGGCCACTCCCAGATGGCTACCCAATAGAAATGTGAAGCTATGCTCACCCCAGGCATGCACAAGAATGTTCACAGTGAACACCAGAAGAATGCCCCAAGCTGTGAACAATCTAGAACGTTATCAGCAGGAGGTAGTATACAGGAGTGTCTATCCGATGATGGGCTGCTATAGGAAGCTGTACAATGCCAAGTGAAAATTTCCACATAGACAGCATACATGTATGACTCCTAGCCAGACACAGAATATACACATTGTATAGCAATTTCCTCTGAGATAAAACTATCCACTTCAGAGGGAAGTTTCTTTCTTTTTTTTGGGGGGGGGGATTTCAAGGCAGGGTTTCTCTGTGGCTTTGGAGGCTGTCCTGGAAATAGCTCTTGTAGACCAGGCTGGTCTCAAACTCACAGAGATCTGGCTGCTTCTACCTCCCGAGGAGTAGGCCACCACTACCCGGCTCAAAGGAAAGTTTCTTAATAGACAAAGGATGTTCTAAGGGGAGGTGAAACATTCCACTCTGCAGGGAAGCTCCTTAAGTTCAGGAAGTAAAACAACTCAAAAGCTTCAGGAAGCCCCTGAAACTTACCAGATTCACTAGGCCCTTCTCTCCCTGAGTGTATATAAGGACTGCTGACAGACTTTCAGACATGCTGAGTGCCTAGAAGAGGCAGAGACCAGACAAGTGGCTTGGGAGAGACTCAGACCACTGAGCTGCCTGAGAGATAGTTTTCTACCTGTTGACCAGCTGCAGGTGCAGTGCATTCCAGGTCCCCAGGTTTTGTGAGCTGTCACCATCACTGGGGTGGGCTTTGGTGATGCTGTCTTTGAGTACTTTTGTACCTGTAAGTAACCCCTCACCCACAATCCTGTAAGTAATCCCTGTAAAACTTATTGGTTCACCAAATTAGACTTGGGTGCTGTCCCTACTTTGGTTCCCTAGCTGAAGTGGGTAGACGTCTGTTTGCATCGCTCCATGGATGGTGCCGCTCTGCAGCCAGAAGGCAAAGAAAAGGCCAATGACGGCGTGCAGACACCAGGGACCCCAGACACATGGGAAGCTGAGACAGGATGACTTGAGCTCAAGAGTGTAAGGTCAACCCAGAAAGCACAGACTGTCTCAAAAACTAACCTCCACCTGCCTTTAATCCCAGCCAATCTACACAGAGAATTCCAGGCTAGCCAGAACAAATAGTGAAGCTTTGTCTAAAAAAAATTAAAACAGGGTGGGAAGTAGGGAGTATGGCTTAGAAATAGAACCCTGGAATCTGACTCCTGCAACATCAGAAAGAATTAGACACATTTATTATTAATGTATTTACTCAAACAATTAAAACAAGTTGCTTTTAATCATGGCTGCATACAGGATTCTGAAGAAAATGAATGCCCGAGACCCTAGTCCACAGCCTGTTCTGTCAAACTCAGCATCCCAGCTTTGCTCCCAAAGACTGAAGAAAGAAGTCATTGGAATATGCCGGACAGAAGGCAGCACGGCTCTGTGTTCTTCTTGGCACTGTGGAGCTGAGATCTTCTTGTTAGAGTCCTTAGGCTAAATATAGTGCTGGAAGCCATAGCCAGCACCAGCAGCAGCCAGCAAGAAGAAGGGCTCTGGGCTGTCACATGGGATGGCTCAGATGGGGACAGAGGGGGGTGGTGGAGGGGTGTAAGGTAGCCGCTTTCCTCAGTTGCACTTGTCTGCACTCTACTCCCTGACAAGGGCTGTGTGACAGTCATAGAGCTCTGGCCTTTTGAAATGGACTAAAATCCTCTTGTGAATTCCAAGAGGGTGTGTATGACCGTCTGTCATCTCAGGTGGGAAACTAAAGCCCAGAGAGGCAAAATCATAAGCTCACTGACCTGCGGTTCATGGAGTTTCCTGTGAGGGTGCCTAAGCCAGAGCTACCAGATCCTGTGAGTGACACCCAGACTCTCTGCAGGTATTGCCATGTCAAGATGAAGTCATCAGGGTAGGTCCTAATCCTGTGACCACTGTCCTTTCATAAAGAGGCAGTCAGGCAGAGAGATGGACATACAGAGAAGGGCAGGGCAATAGGAGGTGAAGGCAGGGGTGGTGCGTGTCAGTGAAGGAGGAGACAGAAAGGACTCCATATAGGGGTGTGAAGGTAGAGGCCTGCTGACAGCTCTGGATCAAGGACAACAAATTTTGGTTGTTTTAAGCCACTCAGCTTATGGGAAGAAGGGACAGGGAAAAGACAGGTCCTTTAGAGACACAGCCCTGGTGCCCTGCTTCCTCACCTAGCCTGTGACCAGCACAGTCTTTCCACGTCTCCCATGGATGAGCCCCCAGAGGAGGCCAGCACCTTCACTATCCACTTCTCAGTGAACCCCAGGGGAGACCAGCACCCTCACTATCCATTTCTCAGATGGGGCTATCCTCAATTCAGCAGTTGTTTTGGAAAACATGTTACATGCGAACAGTTCTGATGATAAAACCTCCTGACAAAAGCAACCTAAGGGGAACATGTTTCAGCTCAAAGTCCAGCAGTTCAGTCTCTCATGGTGGGCAAATCAAGGCAGCAAGAGCTTGGAGCAGCCACCACACTGCAGTCAGGAAGCTGAGCATAGGGGACTGGTTTGGGTTTGTTTCTCCTCTTTATACAGCACAGGATCCTAGCCTAGGAATAGTTTGCTCCCCTTGGTGGTCACTGAGGTCTTTCTTCCTCAGTGAATCTCATCAAGATAGCCTGCTCGTCATAACCCCCAGCTAGGCGGTGGTGGTGCACACCTTTAATCTCAGCACTCAGGAGGCAGAGGCAGGCAGATCTCTTTGAGTTCAAGGCCAGCCTGGTCTACAGAGTGAGTTCCAGGACATCAAGGGCTACACAGAAAAACCCTGTCTTGAAAAATCAATCAACCAACCAAACAAACAAAAAAGCAAAGCAAAGCAAAGCAAAAAGAAACAAAACCCAAAGGCAATCCTTCCCAAGTATGCCTAGAGGTGTGTCTTTAGGTGATTCCATGTCCTATGAAGTTGACAACACTCGCCATCATGTCATGTCTGTTTGCCCTGTAAGTAACACTCATTCATGTTTCTGAAGGTATCTCAACACCCATTCATTGGTGAGTAACTACCATAAATTTGTTGGTTTGCCAAACCGGACTCTGGTGGAATCGCTCCTCTGACTTGTTGTGGGTTCTCCATTTGAAGTGAATGGAATTCTGTTTACTTCCCCAGGAAAGATTAACAGCACCACACACACACAGGTGGGAAGCCAAATGGCTTCCCCGTCATTCTGCTTTCTGGATGCTTCTAACTCCTGTCACTCTGGCTGTGCTCAGCACCCTGTCTCATGTTGATAACAAGTGGACCCCCAGAGCCGGAGGAGTCTGATTCATCATGAGCAGTGCTAAGTCCTCACGTGGTGCCTAGCACTTAGTGAGCACTCAATAAATACTCTTCAGGCAAATTAATGGCTGAGGCCCAGAGAAATCCTTAGGTGCCTTCTGCCTTTTTTCCCTCTTTTTTTTTTTTTTTTTTTTTTTTTTTGGCGAGCCTGGCTCATTCAGAAAAAAAAAAAAGCCACAGAGAAGATGTAAGAAAAAAAATAAAACAAACAAACAAAACAAACTCTCAATTTAAGAAAACAATCACTTTTCACTTCCACAGTTTGAGATAAAGATTAGGTCATGATAAAGATAAAGATTTGATCTTGAAGAAGCAAGGCTTGTCAGTGACCTTGAGGGAAGCCCAAGGCCCATAAGTCATGGATGGCCACGCCCAGGATACTATATATCCCATGTCATGGATGGCCACGCCCAGGGCTGGATGGCATTGCATGTGCAGGCTGGAAGGTCCCACTCTTTTACCCATGCTGAGTTCAGGACGGCACACTGAAAGCATATTTAACACCTGGCCTAGGCACCATGAGGACGGACTGTGTATGTACTATACAGACTTCCAGAGCGCAGGGCTCCCCCCCAATGCTGCCTTGTGTGCTCCAGCGGCACTTACATTGTAGAGGAGATCAGTCCAGCCTTCCATGGTGATGCACTGGAAAACAGTGAGCACAGCAAACAGAATGTTGTCGAACTGAGTGATGCCGTTGTTGGGCCCTTCCCAGTACGGCTGACACTTGGTCCCGTTGGGGCAGGTGCGGGCGGGCTCCTCTGTCCCACACGGAGCTGGCGACTCACCCTGGATGTCGTCTAGAAAAGACAAAGTGGAGAATAAGAAGGAGGGACAGGAAAGAACAGACAGAGAACAGGAAACAGTGATTATTGGGCTGAAATATCAGTGTCCGATTTTAGAACTCTCAGTTCCTATCTGCAGCATCACATTCTTCAACTCTTGTGTTTTTTTCCAGTTTTGCACCAGTTTAATTCTCCTTCCTTTCTTTACTTTAAAAAAATATTTTATTTATTTATTATGTATACAACATTCTGATTCCATGTATATCTGCACACCAGAAGAGGGCTCCAGATCTCATTATAGATGGTTGCGAGCCACCATGCGGTTGCTGGGAATTGAACTCAGGACCTCTGGAAGAGCAGTCAGAGCTCTTAACCTCTGAGCCATCTTTCCAGCCCTTTTTTTTTTTTTTTTTTTTTTTTTTTTTTTTTTGAGAAGAGTTTCTTTGTGTAGTCCTGGAATTTGCTCTGTAAACCAGGCTAGTCTTGAACTTAGAGATCCGCCTGCCTCTGCCTCCCAACTGCTAGGATTAAAGGCATGCACCACCACCTCTGGGCCCTTGTTCTTTTCTTAACCTGTTGAAACTGAGTTATTTTCTTTAAGTCTACAAATTGTCCTTCAAGTGCAGCTTTGACTGCATCTCAGAAACACTGTCGTGGTTATTATTCATTACTGTGAAAATTGTCCCTGTGGCGGTTTTAACAGAAATGGCCTTCACAGACTCATGTTCTAATCCTTGGTCCTCAGGAGAGGTACTATTATGGGGTGAGGCCTTGCTGGAGGAAGTGTGTCACTGGTGGACTTTGACGTGATAGAAGCTCAAGCCAGGTCCAGTAACCCTCTCTCTTCCTGTTGTCTGCAGATCCAGATGTAGAATTCTTGGCTGCTTCTCCAGCACCATGTCTGCCTGCACATGGACATGCTTCCTGATATGATTATAATGGACTAAACCTCTGAACCTGTAAGCCAGCCCCAATTAAATGTTTTCCTATATAAGAGTTGCCATGGTCATGGTGTCTCTTCACAGCAATAGAAACCCTAGCTAAGACAGTCCCCAATTTCCATGACCCATGGGTAACTACTAAATATTTATTTGGAAAAATAAACTTGAGAGAGAGGGGAAGAAAGAGAGAGGGGTGATTTTCCATGAATTAAGACTGGCTGCAACACCAAGTAACTCGGGGCCAGCTTTGCTCAAGTCTACCCTCTGGCCCACTTAGACCACTCACTAGCATATTTTGAAGGCAAATCCCCAACATCAGATAGTCTCATCTGCAAACGAGAAGTATGCCTCTGGCTTTCCAAATGCTTGTGGCACTTTTATTGGCAGCCACATGAGCCAGTGTTCTATGCTGCATCTTGCCAGCCTTTAACTTCTGGTATGTGTTGTGTGATCCACAGCACGATCAGATCATGGTGCCATGAAATGTGAATCACCTGGGTGGACTTTTAGGGCCTTGCTGACTGCTTTTCTTTGTGACATACAAGGGGTCCTGGGGTGCGGGACAGGCACACATGGTTCCTGCCCTTACCCCAGGGTAGGAATACAACAGAGCTTTCTTTCCCAACACTAGGAGACACATTGTGATATGTTAGGAGTGCCAGGGGCTACTCCTTAACGCTGAGACCCAAGACAGTGTGGGTGGGGGAGGCCCAAAGGTCAGAGCCAAATCCTTTGGTATTGAAGTGAACACGGAGGCACTGGACATCTGACTCAACCTGGCCACAAACTTACTGTGCAGCTCCAACTCTTGGAAATCCTCTTGCCTCAACCTCATCAGGGCTGGTTTGAGAAGGCTCAAAAACAAAGATGACATGTTTGAAAAGAAAACTAACAGCCAAGTGTATGAAAATGCAAGTTTCCACTCAACAGACTTCCATTTCCTGTGTGCAGCTGGCTTTACTGCACCCACTCCAGCTGCCATACAGGGAAGGGGACCGTTTGTAGTCCCCACTAGATGGAGTCATCCTGTCAACAGTGAGGAATGTGCCCAGGTAGTGAGTGACTCCTGTCACACCTGTCACCCCAGAACCCATGTGGCTGAAAGATGACTGGTTTCAGGCTAGCCTGGGCTACACTGTAAGACTGTCTTAAAACAAGATAAAGACCAAACCAACCAAAAAGCAAAACTAAAACACAACAAAGAAAGTAAACAAAGGCAATAAAAAGGCCTTGCTTCTAATTTAGATAGCTAGGCTGCACTCACACTAGACTTCCACACATTGAGTGCAGACAAGAAAATGAAACCATTAAAGCTTAAGGCTCACTGGGCGTTGGTGGCACACGCCTTTAATCCCAGCACTGGGGAGGCAGAGGCAGGAGGATCTCTGTGAGTTCAAGACCAGCCTGGTCTACAAGAGCTAGTTCCAGGACAGCCTCCAAAGCCACAGAGAAACCGTGTCTCGAACCCGCCCCCCTCCCCCAAATAAAAGCTTAAGGCTCGGGGTTCTACAGAGGCCCCCTGGGAAGATCACCTGTGTCTCTTGAACCTTCTCTGCCCCACTTCCAGTCCAAATCTGGTTCATGTGAAACCCTGTGTTTACCTGGTTAATTGTGGTGTCCCTACTTCCTCAGGCCTCCCTGCCCCCAATTTTCCTGTGTGTGGGAAGCACGGAGACAACACCACATCAGTCGCTTTGCCTAGAAATGCATGCAAGCCAGGGTCCTGTTCATCTAGGATTCTAGAAACTCGTAGAAAACAGGAAGCATTCCACTTTGTCTTGGAGTCTGTGAATGTGTGGGATGGCAGTGGGTGATAGGAAGTGGGCTCCCTGAGCCTGTGGCTGGGAACGGCCTATCTTTAGCAACATCATCCAGAGGTGTGCTCGACCCCAGCCCCCTCAACCCCAGCCGTCTTCGACGCCAAGCACTCCCAGGGTTGATTCGAGAAACACAGCCATCCGGAGTCAGAGAAATTCAGCTATAAATATATTTTAAAATTAGCCTGCTGCTGGGGCGTCTGTGTATATCTGTTTCTTACTCACACATCTTACAGTCTTAATCGGGAGCTCTTTGGATCACCTCCTGAATCCAGGCTGCTGTCCTCCATGGCTCCACCTACATTTGTCCCCCCACAACCCCACTGGGACCCCAGCCAGCCAGCCCTGGATGGGAAAACAAAACAAAACCAAAAACACCCCAGAAACTTCACACAGCCTGAGCCCCTAGGTCCTAAGTTTGGGTTTTTCTGTTTGTGGCTGATAGACACTTTCTCTGTCTTCCGCCCGGGTGAGGCCAGGTGCAGAAATAGATCTGCTTCAATTAACACCTTCTTCATTGGAGAAAGAAATAATTAGGCCACTCTGTATTGAGCAAACTTCACAAGCCCAGGAGAGAAGAAGCAGGAGAAAGAAATGACATTTCAGCATTCTAGAACAACTTTTCCAGCTGGGACCTGGCCAGGACACCATCCTCTGTGGATCTGCTTGGGGTCAGTGGGTGCAGTTGGCACAAGGCCACTCCTGCCCATAGCCTTCTTCTCTGGTTGTCTTTCCCAACAAGGCACCACACCTCTCCGCCCCTGGGTTCATTTTTTCTCTGGCTATGGAAACCCAGACTTCCTGCTCTGGACAGGGGGTCCAAGTACTGAAAACACAGGTACCCCCTTTTGTTTGAGTCTTCTTGGTTCTAGGGCATAATGCAGCTCTAGTTTGGTGAGTCTAGGATAAAACTGGAAATGCATCTTGAGGGCCTGCACTTCCAAATGTGAATGCAGCATACGAAAGACTTCCACATTGCTGGTCAGACCTGAGTCCCAAGTGCAGCTCCATGCTGACCTCTGTGGGACCCACATCATGGTTCCCTCTGGACTCAGCCTCCTGAGTCCAGAAAAAGCAGGATGGGGCACTGGGCAGGCAGGCCACACCTGCTGGGTGCTGGGTTCTGACGGGATGAAACAGGATCCTCTCAGAGGCAGGGTTCCATTGCCTGGGACAGGTCCTGTCAGGGGCTGGGTACTGAAGGAGAAGGGCAGGACCCTCCGTCTCCTCGGTGGTGAAGTACTTCCTGATGTTTCCAGATACTACAACATTGCTCCATGCATACATGAAAAACTGCTCACGAGCACACCCTCTCTGTGTCTCCCAGGGGTGCCAAGCAAACCACTTGTCCCCTGGGTTGCCTTTAGGGGCCCCCAAACCCAACACTGCAGCTGTGATCAAGGGATCAGAGGCAACTGTCCTTCCTGCAGGCAGTTTAGCCATGTTGGGGATGTACCCAGGGCCTCATGCATGTCCAACAAGACCCCAGGCCCCAGCCATGCATGCAGCCTTCTCTCTGGCGGACTATAAACAGGCCCATTGCTGCAGAGTCCCAGCTTCCAGGGCTGGGGGAACCAGTTCCCCTGCTCATCCTTTCTGAAACTTTGTCCCAAAAAAGCCCTCACATCCCACAGTGTGGACCTACCTGTCCCCTCTTCAAAGCAGGTGGTATGAAATTTTCCCATATAAAATTCTAACCCTATGATTGCAAAAATAAGGATTGCAAAAAACAGGAGTAGGCCGATCTGCAGCAGAGGGATCATTGCCTTCATGATTGACTTCAGGACGACTTGTAAACCTGGGGAGACAAAGAGGGCCAGTGAGTGAGCACCCTGCCAAGTGCCTCCCATGGAGCCCAGAGTGGGGTCAACGAAGTAGGTGGTCACTCACCCCCAAGAAAGACCTCAGTATTTATGATCTAGAAGGTTCTTTGAGGAGTTTTAGGGCTCAAGGGCAGCTAGCCAGGGCTTTCAAAGCCATTTTCTGGGTAGCTCAGTGGCTTCCTTCCACAAGGGGGTGCTGTTTCCCTAAACTGCCCCTTCACGCAGTCTCTCTTTAGTTACCCAGCAGCCCTGCAGGGCCTGCAGCTAGCACCTGGACTCTCAGCTCCAAAGATCAACTTCCTTATTATCTCCTCAGCTTGTAGTCATGACCTGTGGAGGCAGCTGCAGGATAAAAATCACCTCCATTTTACAGACTAGGAAGTGAGGCCCAGGGGGTCTGGTTTCTCTACAAGGGACGGCAAAGTCAGGGTTCATCCTGGAGTCTACCCGACGCTGAGCCTGCCATACACTACCCACATAAGCTTCTGTGTTCCGAGTAACTCAACTGAGGAGGATGACGTTGGACATGGGAGCAGGTAGCACCAGGGGGACATGGCCAGCTATATGCCACCGGGTGTGGGAGATTTGGATGTGGGGAGTAACAGATTGGGGCCTAGGCAAGCCCTTGTCCTCACAGTCAGTGTCTTCACCTCACTGGATGACGCATGCACGTTGGTGGACTGTCTCAGTGACAGCTTTAGGTATTTTTTGAGAGACAGGAAGGAGTTAAATTGACAATGCTCAAATTTTCATCGTATGTGAAAAGTCCCACGATTTTAAACTTTTTAAAAGTTTAATTATTGTAATTAAACTGGGCACTGGTGGCTCATGCCTTTAATCCCAGCACTTGGGAGGCAGAGGCAAGTGGATCTCTGTGAGTTCGAGGCCAGCCTGGTCTCAAAGTGAGTTCCAGAACAACAGGCTCCAAAGCTACACAAAGAAACCTTGTCTTGAAAAATATATATACTATATATGTATATATATATATATATATATATATATATATATATCTCGGGGGTCACACTCAGGTCATCAGGCTTGTTTGGTAAGTACTTTACCACTGAGCTATGTTGCCAGCCCACCACAATTCTAAAACTCAAGGAATGTTGTAACAATTTTTTCCCTTATCTGCTCTTCTTCCTCTTTTGCAAACTAGAAGGAAACAGAATGAGACTTGTAACTTCCCTGTGGAGCAGGTCAAATCCTGACTGCAGCTTCTGCGCTGTACAGTCCTTCCAGTGTCCGGGAGCTTCCCTGTGGACTGCAGTATTTGCAGACACCAAGTCTGCGCTGTACAGCAGATGCCGTTACACAGTCTACACATAACCTCCTGTGTCAATAATCTTGAGATAACTGTTTGTTTTCGAGACAGGGTTTCTCTGTGCCGTCCTGGCTGTCCTGGAACTCACTCTGTAGACCAGGCTGACCTCAAACTCACAGAGATCTGCCTGCCTCTGCCTCCTGAGTGCTGGGATCAAGGGCACGAGTCACTGCACCCAGCTTCTATGTAACATTTGACAACTAACACAATGCTAACACTGTAAGTAGATTTAGACTGTGTTGTTCAGTGAAAAGAAAGACATGCTCAGTACAGATGAGGCTGTTCCCTCACGAGTGCTTTCAACCACAGCTTGCTGACAGTGAGTGTGGAACCCATAGACACAGGGCAGATTGAATGAGGGCCCTTTCACTGTATTCTTCATGGGTAAGTTGTTTTATTTCTTAAAATTTTAAATGATTTGTTTTTATTTTATGTGTATGAGTGTTTGGTTTGTAAGCATGTTGGTGCACCATCTGTGTGCCTGGTACCCACAGAGGCCAAAGGAAGGTACTGAATATTCTGGGAATGGAGTTAAAGACAATTGTGAGTCCCTGTGAGGGTGCTGGGAATTGAACCACCATCACCTGGAAGAGCAGCCAGTTCTCCTGACTGCTGAACCATCTCTCCAGCCCCTAAAGATGTATTTTCATGTTTATCTGCGTTTGCATTTGTGTTTTGTGTTTGTTCAGGTGAGTGTAGTGCCATCAGAGGCCACAAGAGGACTCCCGGAGCTGGAGTTACAGGAGGTTGTGAGCTACCAGACATGCGTACTGGGAACTGGATTCAAGACCAGCAGGTGTTCTCAATCCCCAAGTCACCTCTCCAACCCCAGGTGAGTGATTTTACTCTGCCTTGTGCTCCCACCATGATGTGTGGCCTCCCCACAAGCCTAACACAAGAGGGCAGGCAGCGCACAGGCTGAAACCCATCCCGAGGCAGGCAAACCTTCCTTTCTTCTAAGTTGATTATTGTGGGTGTTTTGTTATAGTTACAGAGGGCTGACTAACACAGAATCTCTCAGAGAGCCCATGGCTAGTTTGATGGTTTGGATAAGTCCACACAGAAGCCACTGGCTAAAGTCTTGGTTCCCTGCCTGTGAAGTAACTGGAGTGTAGAACTTTAAGGGGCGGGGCTTCATGGGAGGATGTCACTGTGTGTAAAGCTTTTGATTTTCTCCTTTCTGGCTGCCATGTGGTAAAGCCACGGACTATGCATTCCCACCAAAATGTGCTGTAGGGGACCAAAGGCCCAAAGCATGACAAAGGATTACAACCTTCCAAACTGAACAAAAACAAACTGTTCTTTTTAAAAATTTTCCTTTGCATTTATTGTATGCATATGGGTGTTTTGTCTGCATGTATGTGGGTGTATGGGCCAGTGTCTGTGGAAGACAGGAGAGGGCACTGGAGTTAGAGGCTGTTGTGAGCTGCCAGGTAGGCAATGAGAGCTGAACCCCGATCCTCTGGAAGAGCAGTCAGTGCTCTTAACCATTGAGTGGTCTCTCCAGCTGCTCCCGATACTAATCTCTATCTATCTATCTATCTATCTATCTATCTATCTATCTATCTATGTGAGCACATGTGCCATAGTGAACATATGGAGGGCACAGACAACCCCTAGGAGTCAGGGCTCTCCTTCTACCATGTGGGTCCTGGGAACGGAGCTGAGGCCGGTAGGTGCCTTTACCTTCTTGTTGTTTTTCTCCTTCATCTCATGCATTTTATGACAGTAACAGAAAGCTGACTAAGACCAGGAAATACCTAGCTCATCCTCCTCACCAGGGCCTCTTGTTAATACTAACTTGTCATCTGCTTCTTAACCTAATGCAACACAGAGCTGGCTGGGCACCAAGCCTGGCTATGGGTTCCTTTCACTGTAAAAGGAGCATGCTGGTGGATAGCTCAGAAATCTCTATTTTTATTTTCATTTTAAATTTTCCTATTGTGCTGAGGGAAAAGCTAGAAGCCATTGATGGCTAGGTAAGTACTCTACTACTGAGAGACACTAACCCCAGCAGAGAAACCTCTTTAAGTCTGGGAGGGAGTGACTCTGATCAGTGAGGCTGACACACTGAACACAGTGATGATAACAGAGCCTAACTCGGTGACTACCTGGAGATAAACAGAGTTCAAAATATTGGACAGGTAGAATTGCCAAGGACTGCACAGGACACACATGTTCATTCATGTGTGTGCACATGCATGAATGTGGAGGCTAGAGGTTAATGCCAAGTATCCTTCTCAAATCTCACTAACCCTGGCACTCATCGGCTCAGCAAGAGCCACTGGCCATGAGCTCTAGGGAGCCTCTGTCTCCACAATCCCAGTGCTAGAGTTGCTGACATGCACCGACACACCTGATTTTCTACAAGGGTGCTTTGTGACCAAACAGAGGTCCTCACACTGAGCCATCTCCCGGTGCCCAGAGTAACTGCTTTTTGATTTCTATCCAGTGAGACACTGGGGTAGAAACAGTCCTCTGTGAGCATCTGGCTTGGGACTGAATCCTGAACCTGTGCTGCAGCCCTCTCTGTGGTGTGAAGCCCATACATCACTGGAGAACAAGGGAGCAGGATATGCACAGACCCTGTGCTTATTCCACCCACCTGTCAGGACTCCTCTGAGCCTTGCCCCTTTCACCTGTGCAGTGGGTATCCACCAACTGAGTGCAATGGTGAAATGAGAGCACTGGAGGCTCTCTGCAGTGCTCCATTCATATGCAGTAAATGCCAACAGTCACTACCACGGGGTCACCACCCAAGCATGGAGTTCTACTTGCTAACTCTCACTCAGCCCCTTCTTTTTCATGTGACCCTGACCAATTACTCAGGCACCTGAGCCTATGTACCCTCCCCCCAAAACAGAAACACTGGCATTGTTTATATAATGGGCTGTGGGTGCTGAAGGAACTGTGTGCAAAACATGACTCCTGGTAGACTGTAAGTGCTCAGTAAAGGCATGAGGCCTAAGGCTTACTTCTGGAGACCTCCTAGACCTGATTCCTGGGGAAGCCCCTGAGGGGTAGCCTGTCCTGATGGGAGTGGGGGCCCCTAAGCAGGGCCTTCTAGAAGGATGGAGACTCACGCACTTGGGATTCCAGACACCAGCTTGAGTGGCCGCAGCACACGAACCGCCCTCAGTGTCCGTAGGTCAAACTCCGTCCCGACAGTGGCCAAGATGCTGCAGGAGAAAACAACGGTAAGGCATGAAAGTTAGGAGCAGGGGTAGGGGGATGGGCAGGCAGCGCATGGTGCTATGAGACCCTCAGCTGGTGACTGGACATCACCAGGTCAGTTCCACCTGTCACGTGACAGTAATGGTTCCTGTCTTGTGGAAGGAGAGGTAACGGATACCTGTCGCTTTCTTCCTGTGTGTCATGCACTCGTGGACCTGTGGGTAGGGTGCACATCTCTAATCCCAAGATGCTCCTGGGCCAGCTAGCCTGGAGCACACAACAAAGTGGAGGCAGGAAGTGACACCCTGTTCACTTTTCTCTTTCTCCACGACTTGCTTGTGGGTTTTGTTGTTGTTGTTGTTGTTTTTTCGAGACAGGGTTTCCCTGTGGCTTTGGAGGCTATCCTGGAACTTGCTCTTGTAGACCAGGCTGGTCTCGAACTCACAGAGATCCGCCTGCCTCTGTCTCCCCAGTGCTAGGATTAAAGGCATGCGCCACCACTGCCCAGCCGACTTACTTGTTTTATACATGCTAAACACATACATGTGTCTGCATACACACACTCTCTCTCTCTCTCTCTCTCTCTCTCTCTCTCTCTCTCTCTCACAATTTCTGAGACACTGTCTCACTGTATAGTCTTGGTAGGCCTGGAACTAACTATGTAGACCAGGCTGGACTAGGACTCAAGAGATCCTCCTGCTTCTGCCTCCCAAGTGCTGGGAGTAAAGGTGTGAGCCACTCACTACACATAGCAAATATACATATACTTAAGACAGAGCATCAAAATGCAGCATACTTATTGTGTAGCTCAAGCTGTCCTTGAACTGACAGAAATCCTCTTGCTTTTGCCTTGCAGGTATGGAATTGCAAGCATGAGCCAACATCACACACACACACACATACACACACACACACACACACACACTTCTTTGAAGACAGTGTCTTTCATATATAGCTCAGGCTGGCCTGGGTTTTGCTCTTCTGATGTCATAGATTGCTGACTGTTGGGATTATGACTGCAGTTTTCTTTGAACTTTTTCAGATTTCCTCTGACAGGCACTGTTCTATTTCTGAGCCTCACTTTCCTCTTTCTGTGCAGACAGAAGCTGTTGCTCAGTGTGTGCAAAGGAGTTATGGGTCTCTGTGTGTGGAGGAAGCTGAGAGAATCCAGTAAACACATCAAATGTCAGAGTGATGTGTGCTAAGGAGAGAAACGCTGAGAAAGGCACACCAGGGAAGCCGTGGCATTTACATCAGAATGGGGACTGGTCTTTATCACTTGGGGCAGGGACCAGCTCAGTGTTCTGATCCAGGTTGGGCTGGAGGCATGGCTAAGAAGTACAGCCCCTGCCTAGAATTCCCAGTGAGGGATTAGGGTGTGACTCAGGGATAGAGCCCTGTCTAGGACCCCCAGTGAGGGATTAGGGTGTGGCTCAGGGATAGAGCCCTGTCTAGGATCCCCAGTGAGGGGATCTAAAGTTGCCTTGGCCCTTGTTTGAGACACAGTGTCTTCACCGCTGCTGCCTCAGACATGGAGATTCAGGTTTTGTTTTTGGACAAGTCCTTACTTTGTAGTCCATGTTGATCCTGGAAGTGGAAGCAATTCTCCTGCCTCAACTTCTAGAGTGCTGGGATAACTGGTATGAACCACTATTCCCAGCTACAAACACTCAGCCTCTGAGCTACAATCCCAGCTCTAAATTATGTGTAGTACTGAGGACGGAAGCCAACGCCCCACCTCACTGTCACAGAACCCGGTCATGTTCCTTGTCTGCTCCCACCTTCCTCAGTAAAAGCTGAAGTCCTCCTCCTGATCCCCAAAGCCTTGAACTGTCGGCCCCATCCTCCACCCTCACCCATGGCCAGTTTCTTGCTGATTCTGCTCCAGCCACCCCAAACTTATTATTCTCCAAAGACACAAAAGGAGTTTAAGGCCACCCTTAGCAGGGTGGGGCAAGGCCAGAGCCTGGGGGAGGGGTCCAGTGATGACTGCTGGGCACAGGCAGGGTGGTGCTGGGCATGAAACTGCCCCAGGGACATGGCACAGGTTCAAGTTTCTCCGTGGTTCATGATGCAGGAGGCAGGAAAGAGGACAATGAAGACACAAACGGGAGAGCACAGAGCCAAGGAGCTCAGATCCAGGGCACAGCCATGAACTCTTAAACCTAGGCTCCAATGCCACCCTGAACGTGCTCACGGTGAGACCTTGGCCTTAGCTGGCCTAGGCCTCAGGATGGTGGGAGCACTGACTTCTCTCATGGCCAGTGTGACTTCAGCTGGCTCCTAAGATGTTGGAGCTCCCGTCTCTTTGCCCACTCCCCCAGAAAGATGGTAGGAACTGGGAGAAACCAGGAGGCTGCATCCTGGGGTCTGTGGGGACAGTGGGAGCCATGAAGACTGTGGAGCAAGGAGAAGACGAGAGTGCCTCTTGAGAGGACAGATGGGTGGTGATGAAGCCTGAGTTAGGAAGGAGCTGTGAGACGGGCCGTCCTAATGAGGGCTGGAAGTAGGGCAGAGGCAGTGGGAGTACAAAGGAGGCCTTGGGTTATATATAGCTGCCAGGAGCACTGTGCATCAGGGAGCCTGCCTGGGTGTACTGCATCCGGCCTGCACTCATGGAAATCAGAGTACAAAGATCTGAGTCACACCAAGGAGGAACTTGAACCCAGAACCCAGGTCCCTATCCTGCAGAGCTTGACCCTCATGGTACTATTTGGATGGGGAAGGAGTCACGGGGGAGAAGAAAAAACCCATTTGCTCATTCAACAGAAACTTAGCTACCAGGCTTTCAGGGAGTACCTTAGAGGTCACAGTGAACAGCTGAGGGGAGGGTTTGGTGGTGAGGAGTGACATGATTCCCACCCCCCTCATCCAAACAGGAAGTAAGCACTGTGTGGGAAAGGGAGGGACTGAGATGTCTCTAGGGTTTGGTGGGTCAAAGAGATGGAGCCAACAGAGAAGGGAAGAGCTAGGAAGGAGGAGGAGGTTCATGGGGTGTCAGAACTGGGTGGGTATGCTGAGGCAGAAATGCCTGTGTTAAAAGCCTTCCAGTAATGCCAGGCACTGTGACCACACCTTTACTCCCAGCACTTGGGAGGCAGAGACAGGTGGATCTCTGTGAGTTCCAGGCCAGGCTGGTCTGCATAGTGACATACTGCCTAAGGGCCTGGCCCTTGCTGCCCTCACTGAATGCTGTCCCCCAAGTGTCTTCTTGTTCAGACATCAGGAACTTTCAGGATGTTCAGACATCCTGGACTTTCTTCTCTTCACCAAGCTGCACTTCTTGGTTCAACTCCTTCTTGTCCAAATCCAGACCAGTGAGCCCAGAGTAGCACCCAGTGCACTGTTTCTGTTAGTCACTTCCTCAGTGCCAGCTCTAAGAGGATAGCCACCTTTTCTGTGACAGTGTACCTTATGCTTCCTAAATATTTGGTGGGTGAGTGGTACAGCATGACAAGGGGTGGGTTGACAGGCTACTGAATGTCCCTGAGCAGGTGGGAACAGTGGAAAAGGGACACCTGGAGGAGTAACACTAAGTAGGAAGCAGGCTGCCAATCACAGCCCTTGGGAGGATGCTGCAGGAAGATCACGGGGCAGTCAAGATGAAAAGAGGGTGAGGACACAGAAGAGGGAGAGAAGTCCATGTGAGGGATGGCGGCATCCCTGAGGGCCAAGGGCGAGGCTGATTACTGCTACCCAGAGCAGCACCAACAGGACACAGGACAGGCAGCCATCTCCCATGCCTGGTTTCTAACTGCTGTGAGAAGAGATGGCCCTCAGGCCAGACTGCAGCACATGTATTTAAGACTCATTTTATTTTCAATCACATGTATGTGTGTATGCTTGATGGTGTGTTATGCATGTGAGTGTAGTTGCCTGTGGAGGCCAGAAGAGGGTATCAGCTCTCCAGGAGCTGGAGTTACAGGCGGTTGTGAGCTATTCAATGTGGGTGCTAGGGAATCAAACTTGGGTCCCCAATAAGAGAAGCCATCGTTTTTAATTGCTGAGCCATCTCCCTGGTACCTGGGTACATACATTTATACATGGTGGAAGGATACCAATGGCAGGTCCCACGGATTCCAGGAGCTGGGCTACTCACATATAACTACTGGCCACATAGAGCTTCACTTTACTGTGCGTTTATGGAAGTACTCATTTCTTACAGAGACAGGGACAGTGTAAATAAATACCATGGAGCTCAGTCTGGCCTTGTACCTCCAAGTGCTGGGATTGTAAGGCTTCCCTACAGCTTTTAATTATACATTTAAGTTGACTTAAATTAAACAACAACAAAAAATCAGATATAGCGATTGCATGTGGAGCACTCAGTCACACATGGGCACAGATGGTGCTCCAGCATGGCCACCCTGGAGGACAGGGAATCCCATCAGCACCTAAAGTTACGTCTGGCACAATAAATGTTTGTCGAATACACGGATGATGGAGAAGTAAAGACACGCACGTATGATAACAGATTCTCTAGAAGAGATGGGAGGCTAAGTTGTTTAAAGCAAAGAATCGTAGACAACACGAACTGTTCTCTGCTCAACAGATGCTGGTGGCAGAGTGTGCCTCCTAGCCAAGCCTGAGAAAATGCTCCGTAGTGAATTCTTTCCCTGGATGCTTTGCTATGGAGGTATTGGTCTCATGACCTAGTTACATGCATAACATGGGACATGGGGTCCCATGTTGGTTTGCTGGGGAATTCTGGGAAGGGGTTTTCTCCTAGAGAAGAGTCAAATGATAGGAAACAGCCCCTCCTCTTCCTGTTTGAGGCTGATTTCTTTGTGTCTGCAAAGATGGCTGAGGAAAATTTTGGAATGGCTCTTGGCCATGCAGAAACTAAGACAATCCCTACAGTCAAAGGAAGAGCAGGCACAGGAAAGACTCCGTACAGGTGTGGCTGAGTCACAGACCCAACCCCACAACCAAGAGGCTTCCATACTTCCTGTAACAATGGTCTCAAGGGTCCAAATCCAAATTCTTCTAAACATAAGTTGTGTGG